GCTAAGTTTACAGTGTGCGCTCTAAGTTTTGTATCTTTTTCACTGTCGATAAGACTCGCTGCGAAAACAACGTAAAAGTTGCAGGCAGTTTGTAGTTTTGTTAGGGTGTACCGCTGACCGGCAAAATACTGTATCGCGCCCCAAAAAACGTATATCCGCGGTGTCTCCGCTGACCGTTGTTTTTGTGGTTTTTGCAACGCGACGTCATGGACGTGCCTATTGACGTCATTAGACATGGTAACAAAAGCTGTCACCAGGTTTTCGTGTATGTAAAATATATACGGGCCATGAAAATTTGATCCTACGTTGGCAGCGTTTATCGTATGCGGTCCCTTGCAGTTTCTGGTTTCTCATGAAAAATTGGCCCGTAACGGAGTAGGGCCATATTTCACAATTACACTTATGTATACAATTTAACAATGGAAGATGTCAACGACATGACGTGTTACAGGTCGTTACAGGAACTTTGAATGAAAAAAGAGTATTTTTCAATATTGTTTCCCAACATTTGTTTTGTGCGGCCAATTATGAATGCGTATATATCGGTCAAGTGGCCGTGTTACCGGGGTAGAATTATAAAAAATTATACAGGTTACGATTTAGGACGGTGGTCGTTTCCCGTGTCATGAACGGAGTGGCCCCATTAACCGGGCTTTTGCCGGGCAAAAAAGTGGCCGTATTAACGAGGTGACCGTGAGGCGGATTCCACTGTAATCCCAAAATGTTGATAAATGTGTGCCTATAAAGGCTGAAGTAGCTCAGGTCAAGGGATTTTCCTCAGCGCAGCCGTGCTTATGAAGGATTCCCAGATGGATTCCTTCCTTTCCGGCTATATAGACCTCTGACAAACCCCACCAAGCCTTCGATTGACATATTTCCTGAGAAATCTCTACGTTTGCCTGCAAAAACCCTGACAAGGAAAACTTTTTATTAACCGTTATGCGTTTCGATCACCTCCAATACAAGGCAGCATTCACTGTAGGTAAATGAAAAAGAAATAATCATAAAGCACTGTCTTGTTGTACTGACTGCCGTTGATGCAACCTTGTTTCGAGAGTTCTTTCTCACAAGAAAAGTAATTCACTTTTATGAAATAATAATTTAACCTATACATGTGATAAAAATCAGTGCTTGTTTCTTTTTGCTTGGCAAGGCATTCCCGGTCCCAGTTGCAAAGTCAGACAATTCTTTAATTCCTGGTCCCTGAAACAGCTTCAGCTTTAGCGAATCTATTTAAGAAAATTGACGTTAGTTTTTCCAGCGTCTGTCCTGTTTTATATAATAACCCAAGTTA